ATGTAGGCGGACTGGCTGCCTTCCTTCCAGAGTTTACCAGTTTCGAGTTCCCGAGTCCATTTTTGAGTCAACTCTGCGCTCTATCTGCATCTTCTTTTGGCCTGTGACCGTTCCTTCTTCCCAGTGTTCTCTACATCGAGGCCGTTGCATTTGAAGGACACGGGGACGAGCATTCCGACGAACTGCCTGATGGCTCATTAGATATTGTCGTCAAAGTGGCCATGATCGAGGTACGCTGGCATCCCTCGCCGGTTCTTTCGCTCATCTGTCATTCGTTTGCGCCAGTTTCGAAAAGTGGTGTTCGGCACGGCTTCGGATAATATCATACGCGCGAAGAGATGGGCTGCTGACTCTGCTGAGGATCGTACAATATCTCTCGTGAGCTCGTACTGCCTGGAATTGAATTTATTTAATTGTTAACCAGAGCGACCTTTGGTCGATGCATATGCCAACGGAACGAGGACGAACATCTTGCGAGTTTTATGGGTTGATATTTGACGAAGCTGCCAGTGCAGCAGCGCAGCAGAATGTGTACAGTATCGATAGCCCAAAATGGCAAGTTGATGTCCCCCAAATGGAAGAATCTCTCCTTGCGCGCCGTCGGGAGATACAAGCAGTTACTGTTTCAGTATGTCGGTCGCATATCACTCGGCAACCGAGCATTGCATCGAAAAAAATCGCAAGACTGTCGATCGTCGGAGCATCTCTTTCCAGCGCGTTTCGAATTCGGACTCCAAAATCGAATCCATCGAGAAGGGCAAGATTGGGCGTTCGATCCAAGTGAGCCAATATTCTATCGAGAATCTCCATAGTCTTCAAGCAAATCTTTGCAGATGCTTGAAAAAAACGGGAAGAGCCTGGAAGACAAAGAGCAAGAGTCACACGTCACATTGTCACCAGTTTGCGTCCTTTGAACCTTGACCACGACCTTGCCACTGCAGTGACGCCGTTCACGATGCACACTTCTTGTATGCAAAATTATAAGCTAACGTCTAACACTAATATTCCATTTAGGGTCCAAAATCCCGATTGAAATGGCTCAAGAAATCGCTCAACACAATGCCGACGACGCAAAGACCTTGCGCGTCATGTCGCTCGTGTCTCATACCACACGTCTCTTGGTCCTGAAGTACCTCTTTGCTACCATCCAGTTCTCCTGCGTTGAAGATTTTGCCCTGTGGAGCGACATGGTTCGCAGGACATCGATGCTCAAGACCGTAGTGAAGAAGGTCAAATTCTCCGACTGTCACGAGTGGCTCCGACGTGAGCAAGGGTTCACTGGGACTCCTTTGCGGGCCTATACCGCCCGACCTTTGATTCCGTCCTCGACCAGCGTCTGCGCCGTAGAATGGGAAGACCTGAGCCCGAGCGACGTGCGGATCGCGATGATGCAGGGACACATGGCGTTGTTCCCTAACGTCAAAACACTGTGTCTCACCAATACGCGTTTCACTTTCGCTGGGCTGATAAACCTCCTTGGCGCGTGCGGGCCACTGACGAGCCTCTCTCTCAGGAGGGCAAGACCGTGCGAAGGAGACGACTTTGACCTTATCCTGAAGATGCTGCGACAGACGCCAGTCGATCTCGCAGCAATGGAGGAGTTGGCGCTAATAGGTTATGATCAATATGGTGGGAACGGCGCTCTCCTCCGTTTAATACAACATCTACAGCCTCGAATCAAGACGTTGTCCCTCGAGGACACGTCGTGCCCTGTCGAGGGCGTAGAGAGCCTGTTGGCCTTCGTCGCACCGTGTCTTGTGAATCTGGTCCTGGAAGGGACATACCCTGCGACGGTCTCTGCAGGTTTCGACTGGGTGCTTTCAAACCCACCTCAGCTTATCCCAGCATATACATATATGACATATATGACCGGTGAATAAATTCCAATCTCATCCACACCCTCCATGACCTTCAGCAACAGACACCCAAACCATCCTGCCCGTCTTCGTGGTGCTCGAAACGCTTGCTCTGTGCTTGCGGTCGTACTCGCGTGATGCGGTTGGCGTTATCCACGCGCTCGACGCGTTCCAAACAGCTCCGAACCTCACCAGACTGATCTTTCGACTCATATTGCCCCTAGAAAATGTTCAGATACATTTTCATTCAATTCTCCGCGCGCTTCCACGGTGGCCAGCATCCGGGTCCGAATCTTTGAAGATGGTGCTGGCACGGAAATTCCCGCGCTGCGAGAGAGTTGAATTTCATCTTTGCGTCCCAGGCGAGTCCGAAATACATTTTCGCCGTGGGGTTCGAAGGCGAATGGAGCGTCAGCTGAATGCGAAGCTGAAGGAGACTCGGGCTGGGATAGGGGGACTTTTGCACGTTGAGTGGGTCGACGGGGAGTTTAACCCTGTCAGGTACAATAAGACAAACGGGAAGCCACCGTGGAATTTTCGACGCGGTTCTTCCGCCCAAGCGGAACCTGAGACCGAGTCCAGCGACTGCGAGTCGGACAAGGAGGAGGAGTCTTGCCCTTCGTAATGTTTCGAGCTAGCTTGTATCTTTCGAGCAGTAAATTGAGTAATAATGTTTGCCATTGGAGTGAAAATGCCCTCATGAAATCGGTACAGTAGCTTTTTCTGCTTCAAAGATTTTCCGTGGTGTGCGTTTATCAGTGCCGAATCGAAGGCCAATAAGTATCTCTTGTGGTTTTGATGGATTCGCGCTTGGCTCTGCTCCCACTCCTCCTTCGTGCGCTCTGCTTTTTCGTCGTTACCGCGTTGGCGCCTCCCTGCAGGTCCCGGAACCACTTCTCGGCTGGCGAGTCCTCTACCTTGAGGAACGATTCAAGCGTCTGTCTATTAGCGTCCGAGGTTCCCAGATCGCGCAAGTAAAAAGTGCTGGGTGTCACGGCGCTAGCCTCACCGTACACGGGCTTACGACTCGAATATCGGCACTGTTACGCGCCTTTGACGCGCTTGCTCAATGCCAATGCCATGCTTCAGAGAATGCTACTCCCTCTCGCGGACGTCTGCCGACTCTGCTTCTGCGAGTGAGGCCTCACCAATCGACGGGTTTCTAACTCAAGGGCCTCCAGATAACTACGGGCGCGCGGTTCGTCTATTCTCTCATATTATACGTCCTATTTTAACGACCCTCTCCCTGTGCAGGCACGCCGTCGCGGTCACTCCCGGTGTCGCGCGACCTCCCCAACGTCGTACATACGACCGATTCATCTCTGATCGTCGGCGCCATCTTTTGGTCGGTGCTGGAGCGCTCTCGCTTTTTTGTCGGTAGCTCCCCACGGTATCGCTTGGGTCTCTTAGATTATTTGCCAGAAAACGTCCTATGCCACCGCCGCAACCGCCGTCCTCACTCGACTTCTGCTCCTGCTCCTACTCCTGCTTCGGGAGCGCCCGCGCTGCCACCAGCGCGTCGGTGCGTCGGGAAGGACGGTTGGGTCGACGGTCAGGAAGCTTGGGGTACTCGAGTCGAGGGCGAGGAAGCTCGGCGCGCTCGAGCCTGGTGGCGTGCCCCCTGTGTCGCTGCTGGAGCACGACGAGGGCGGTGCATCGGGGGCGCGCAGCACAAGGCGCGTGAACGGGCTGAGGAGGCGCGCGTCGTGGACGGGCGCGGGGTTGAAGATCGCGTCGATGAGGGAAGCGGTGGGGATGGGGCCGCAGGCGCGGGGGAGGGCGCTCACGTCGAACTGGCGCGCCGTGTCGTCGACGGCGACCGGGGGGTAGAGGTCGAGCGCGTGGGGACGTGTGCGGTACATATCTGCGCGCGTGGAGAGGAAAGTGGCGGCCCCCACGCCGGCGAGGATCTCGCTGTGCGGCAGCGGCGGGGCGACGAACGGCGTCGGAGAAGACGACGGGGAGAGGATGGGCTCGACGCGGATGGAGAGGCGGAGGGTGGCGTTGGTCTTGCTGTCGTTCAAGAGGTAGCGCCGCGTGACGGTGCCCTTGCGCGGGACATTAATATTGTCCGCAGGGACGCTGTCGGTGTATTCCGCGAGGTCGAGCTCGACGGTCCCGAGGCGGGGGTTCGCCGGGGCGTCGGGATCGCCGGATACGACGCGCTGGACGACTTTGAGCGTGAAGGGGTGCGGGAGGAGGCGTTGCGTGTCGCGGTCGATGGACATTTGCACCACGGCGGAGAGCGGGTGGTCCCAAACCACGGAGTGCTCGTGGAGCGGCAGGAAGGGAGTCTGCCCGCGCGTGGTCGAGGCGTCTGGAAGGTCGTCTGCGCCCGCAGGGTATGCTTGAGCGTCCTCGGCGCTGCCGAAACTGTCCTCGTCGCCGTCGCCGTCGCCGTCCTGCACCTCGGGGGCCCGTTCCTTTCCCTTCCCCTTCACCCTCCGCGTATTCTTCCACTTCCACTTGACGCTGAACTCGCCGCGGACGAGCGGCACGCTCGCGAGCTGGTGGATCTGGATCGTGACTTGGAAAAGCGCGTGTCGCGGGACGAGATGCAGGAGTTGAGCACGCAGGGTCAGACTGCGGGGAGCGGCGTCTTCTTCTTCTGGCTTTGGGTTCGGGTTCGGGGTGGACATCGCGGGGGCATATGAGAGAGATCAAGTATCAGGAAAGAGGTCCGCGCTTTTATGCTGCGCGCCATCGAAGACAAGACAAGACGGAGGGAAGGAAGGGTTTGCCCGATTTGGAACGAAACTCTAATTTGGGCAGAGCGCCCACTGCTGACTTGCCGTCTAATGTTCACAGTACTTGTCTCCCATATCTGCCATTCTGCGGCCCTTTCAAGTTCCCTTACCCCGAGGTTCTACTGACCAAGGACCTATATGGGCTCAGCCGCGGCGGCGGCATCCCAACTGTGAGGGTTTGTGTTGAGAGTTTCGCCAATCGTTTGCATGTACGTGCTTTTCCTTTTCTTCCTTCGAGTCGGCGGTCAATCATATTTATACGTCGCGAGATGACAGATGTCCCAATTCTTGCCTGACATCTGGGCGAATCGTCTTAATTCCGTCGGTGGCGTTTAATGGTTCAGAGTGCGGTGTTGCGTCCCCAGGAATCGGTCCACCCGTCCTGTCGAAAGCTTAGGCGTTCGTGGTGTATCGGTAACATTGGGTCTTCCCACAAGACAGCTCTTGGCCTAGCACCGGGTTCGACTCCCGGCGGACGCATCTGCTTCTTCCAGTGAAGCCTTTTTGTTGATTGGCAACTGTTGCTCCAGACCTTCAAATCCAACTATTCCTTCGCTGTGGGTTCTAAGCGTCAAGCTCCTTCTGCACTCGTTTTCTTGGTCCGCCTGGTCTGCAGGGTTTCTGGTTAAAACACCCCAAAAGCTCAATCACTGAATTCATATAGTACCCGAAACAACGGCGCCGTCAAATGTTAAACCCAAGATCATGATGGGACGGTCGGCGGCCCCTCGACGAGGACGTACCTGGTTTCATAGCGCCAGCAATGGCCATTGAACTCTCTTGGATTGTTCTGTTACTCGCGCTTTCTCCGTCGTCATGGGCTGGAGTCACAGTTCAGCGGCCAGGTTTGGTCGTCCCTCCTGAGTACACGTCCCGCCGCGACGATGCAAAAAAGCTCTTCACCACAAGTTACGACGCCTACAAGTGAGTGGTTGCTGCGCGAGTCGTCTGAACGCGAGGATTGATTTCTTCCGCCACAGGCAGTTTGCTTTCGGGCACGACGACTTGTCACCTGTGAGCCTGGGCTTTTCGGATGGCCGGAGTGGGTTGATGCACATCCAAATGGTCAAAGCTAAGTATTGAACTAATTGGTAGATGGCTGGGGAGCTTCCATTGTGGACGCGATGGTGCGTTTTTGGTGCTCCTTGACGCGTTATATGTATCTGAAACCATTTTTTTTGAAAGCCTACCATGGTGCGCCCGCAAGTATCTACGATGACGGTTTCACTTATTTGACCTGGATGTAGTTCATTATGGGATTGGAGGTAACTCATGGTCAACGCTTCATTCCATGGTACAGTCGGTAATCACTTTTCTCACAGGATCTCTTCGACGAGGCGGTCGATTACTTGAGCAACATCGATTTTAGCACGTCTCAGACATCGGACGCGGTATCCCTCTTCGAAACCACCATCCGTTACCTCGGCGGCCTGCTCGCTTCATACGAACTTAGTGGGAAGAAATATCCGATTCTAGTCGCGAAGGCGAAGGTAGAGCTGTTGGGCTTCATGATCCACGCACAATGAATGAACGCTCCAGCCCCTGTCAGGAACTCGCTGATAAGATGGCTTTTGCGTGGATCGGAGTGCGTTCTCCCCTTCGGACCCATCTAGCAACGTATTGATTCGAGTCCCCCCCCCCCGCAGGACAATGCCCTTCCCTATGGATACATGGATTTCAACACCAATACCCCCATACTTGCTACAGAAAGTTTTCCTTCTTTCCTTGTCCTCCCGCTGTCCCAACTGAAAATTTCATTCGTATTAGTCTAACATCGCTGAAGCCGGCACGCTCAGTTTAGAATGGTTCACTTTGAGCAAATACACTGAAAACGCCACCTACGCAAACCTGAGCACCAAATCCGTCAAACACATCGCAAATCTCGTACGGATTCAAGTAGTTCTAACTTGAGTCGTTAATACTTGAATGCCCGTTTTTGCCTTTCTCCAGGAGTCCCCACTGCCAGGTTGGTTTTCATAAACTTGTCATGCACTTCAGATGACTCATGAACCGTCTTAGGTCTCGCTGCTCTGGGAATCGACCCAGGCTCCGGCAATTTCATCGGAAGCTATGTGGTGTGTTTTTGCGACCTGTGTCGGTTCAATAAAGACGTTGCTGAAGCAATCCGATAGACTTGGGGCGGCGGAAGTGACTCGTACTTCGAGTATCTTCTCAAATACGCTCGTTTAACCAACACTGACGAGCCTATTTACATCGATACCTGGAAGGTACTCCCGAGCGAGAATTGTATCCTTTTTGCGCTTAATTCTCTGCATAGACCGCGGTGGATAGCTCCATCAGAACTTTGCTCAAGGTCAGTGGAGTTTCATGGTTACACCTCGCCTGTCAAACTGATATTCCGTCCACCTCCTTAGAAATCAACCGTGGGGAATCACTCGTATCTCGCCGATTTCGATGGTTCTCAGATTAATCATGTTGGCTCGTGAGAATATCTTGGTCTTCGTCGTATAGGTCTTGACGGAGCATCCGCAGACATCTTGCATGTTTCCACGCCGGAAACTGGCTTCTTGGTGCGCATAGTCTTGTATTTCGTTGACCGACGCTCTTAGTTTCTCCCAAAGGCGGAAAGCTCTTGCAAAACCAAACCATCATTGATGTCGCCCTGGATCTCAACGAAGGCTGCTGGGTATGTCTTTTTTTGCGGCCTTCGTCTTTGAGCGCTGACAGCAGCCTTCCGCTTTTGGTAGAATACATACGCAAGCACCATGTATGCATTTGTTGCGATCCTGGCCTTTTCTGTGCTGACGGCCGTTTAGAACGGGTATCGGCCCAGAAGCGTTTGCGTTCATTAGCTCGGATGGGTATTATACTGCTGAAGACGGCCCGACGAGTTCGCAACTCGCTTTCTACAACGAGCACGGATTTTACATTACGGCGTCTCACTATATTATGCGTCCCGAGGGTATGAAGTATCGTCACTCGTCCTGGTACATACGTCTAACTGAACTACAACCGCAGTGCTAGAGTCGAACATGCAAGTGTCTTATAAATTGTTCTTGACTGATAAGTAATTTCAAATGCTACTAGGCACGCATGGCGGTACGCAGAACGTTCACGTTACTTATTGAACTCACATTCGTGCAGTGTGACCGGCGATACCAAGTATTTGGACCGCGCAGCCAGTGCAATCGACTCGTTCAACGAATTTTTGCCAGCGACCGTGGCTTTTGCTGGCCTCAACGATGTGAACGGCGCCGAGGGCGGCCTAATAGATGATATGGAGTCGTTCTGGTTTGCAGAGGTGCTCAAGTACCTGTGCGTTCACATTTCCATTGCAAACGCCTTCGGGTGACATTGGGCGTGCTAGGTACCTCACGTTCGACGATCCAACACACATTAGCCTGGATGACTGTGAGTGACGACATGTTCTACTTCACTGCGATTCTTATGTTTGTAGATGTCTTCAACACAGAATGCCAGCCTTTCAAGGCTCCTCCCGCGCTGGACTCGTATGCAGGGTCTGGAAAGCTGATTCAGGCGAAACCGTTCGTGGTGCAGGACGCAGAGTCCGATGCATTCTTGCCTGAAATAGATTCTTGATTCTCCAATTGGTTCCTCCTTTCAAATATCCTCGTGCGACCTGACATGCTTAAGCTTCTTCCCGTCCGTGAGCTTCACTAACTTCAACCAAGTTTCCGGCGGCTGTGTTGAATATCAGAGCTGCATTAACGACGAGAAGTCCGCCAACAGTGAGCTTTTTTTTAATGGTGAGACTCTGTCCGTTTTCCGCCAATTAGTATAGAACACCTTGTAGTTTTGAACTTCCTCAAATTTAGTAATGATGTTGTCCGGCGGGGAAGTGTATAAGATCTACCAGATTGTGCACGGCACTCTGAGAACAACAGAACAGCGCGCACATGAGTATGTTAGAGTCAGAACGAAGGGAACACGAGGGGGTCCCGAAACATCGGATTCCCCCGAATGTCAGAATAAGTACTTGGCTGCCAATTAATTTGCAGGCCGAGCTCAATGGGGAAACGAGCAGAAACCTGTGTGATCACCGCGATCCGTGCATGATCCTGAGTCAACGAACTTCGAGCCGCAGCGTTTGTGACTTTCGGCGAGTCCGATGTGGCAATGAAAAAATAATGGGAAACTTTGCGAGAAAATTGGTGAGGTGGTTGAAATACGTACTTTCCCAGGGTTCATTCGTCGTGAGGTCGTAAGTAGCAGGTTACGAAACACCTTTTCGGGTTTTCCCAGCCGAATTCCCACGCCATCGGTAAATCGCGAGCTGTTTCGGCCAAGCCCCAACAAACACAATCACACCTCGCTGTCTTGGACACGTCTACTTACACCTCGCTATTGACAGTACTTGCGCGACGCTCTTCAGTTGCCATGCCCATTGCCACATAATTCCGTTCTGCGGATCTGGATTCTCGTCCTATGATTTTGGTGCCATGGGGTATATTAGTCCTGTGATGTGGTCTGATGTGGTCTTGGCGTTGCAGGTCGTCTGAACTCGATTCCGTTTCTGCAATTCCTTATTTGAATTGGTCAATGGTAGCCAGCCCTCATGTGCAGGGTACACACATGGCGACCTTCGGCGTTGGTATAAAAGCGCGCTGCTTCACTTTGCGGTTTGTGACGAATCGCCTGCTCACACCTTATTCAAAGCATGCTCGTCAAGTTTGCCACGCTGTTGGCCACTGCGCTGCTCGCCACAGCTACACCTGGCCCAGCCTCTGCGGTGGAGAAGCGCCAGAGCTTTCCGCGCATGGTATGTAATCTGAGCAAAAGGTCTACTGCCACGCTGACACCGATCGCCAGGTGGTAAGTCGCTGCAGGTATTGCAGGATGTTCTGCTCACGTCGAACACCCCCAACCCCAAGTTCTGTCATTTCATGGTAAGCAGCCTGATGTATTCGTCTTTTATTCATTCAATCATAACCTCTGGCGCTGTAGATTGGAATCGAGAGTGATCGTACAAGCTCTGCGGATGTGCGTGACTATGCGTTTGTCTTTCTTTGTTACTCATGGTGCTCCTAGTATGATTCAGACATGATACGTGCAAAGAGCTATGGCATCGACGCGTTTGCGCTTAACATGTACGTCGAGGCATCTTCTGCGTCACTTTCGTCTCATTGTGCATTATAGCGTATGCGCGATGCTAATGTTACAAACGCTCTCTAACCTCCCTCCAGGGAGGTTCGTGTTTACTTCTCCATAGCATGCGCTCCAATTAAAGAACGGCGGTCATTGTGCAGTCGATCCATACACGTAAGTTGCTCTACCCTTGTATAGACCTTTTCTTACTGTCGTCGTAGCGATCAACAGCGTTTGTCACTGCACAATCTGTGTACTCGCTTCTTCTCATGATGTTCTCAGTCGGCTATGCTTATGATTCTGCGAACCGCAACGGCATGAAAGGTGTGTACGAGCACACGCGGTGTGCGGTCATAACAATGCTGACATTGTCTCAGTTTTCATCAGTTACGATTTCAACTGTGCGTTTCGAT